ATATCCCATAAACCCCATAGAGACCCCAAATATCCCATAAACCCCATAGAGACCCCATAGACATCCCATAAACCCCATAGAGACCCCAAATATCCCATAAACCCCATAGAGACCCCATAGACATCCCATAAACCCCAAATATCCTATAGACCCCATAGAGACCCCACAGACATCCCATAGACCCCACAGACACCCCATAAACCCCCTAGAGACCCTAAATATCCCATGGGGTCTATAGGGTTTCTATGGGTCCATGGGGGTTCTATGGGTCCACAGGGGTCCATAAGGGTTCTATAATTTCTATGGGGTCTATGGGGTTTCAATGGGGTCCATGGGGGTTCTGTGGGGTCCATAGGGTCTCTATGGGTCCATAGGGGTCCGTAAGGGTTCTATGGGGTCTATGGGGTCCATAGGGTTTCTATGGGGTCCATGTGGGTTCTATGGGGTCTATAGGGGTTCTATGGGGTTTATGGGGTCCATAGGGGTTCTATGGGGTCGATGGGGTTTCAATGGGGTCCATGGGGGTTCTATGGGGTCTATGGGGTTTCAATGGGTCCATAGGGGTCCGTAAGGGTTCTATGGGGTCTATGGGGTCCATAGGGTTTCTATGGGGTCTATGGGGTTTCAATGGGGTCCATGGGGGTTCTATGGGGTCTATGTGGGTTCTATGGGTCCATAGGGGTCTGTAAGGGTTCTATGGGGTCTATAGGGTCCATAGGGTTTCTACGGGGTCCATGTGGGTTCTATGGGGTCTATAGGGGTTCTATGGGGTCTATGGGGTCCATAGGGGTTCTATGGGGTCTATGGGGTTTCTATGCGGTCCATGGGGGTTCTATGGGGTCCATAGGGTTTCTATGGGGTCCATGGGGGTTCTATGGGGTCCATAGGGTCTCTATGGGTCCATAGGGGTCTATAGGGTTTCTATAGGTCCATGGGGGTTCTATGGGGTCCATAGGGTCTCTATGGGTCCATAGGGGTCTATGGGGTCCATGGGGCACCGTCCCCACCTGAGGCGTGCCCTGAGCACGGCCACGTCCCTGGCGGTGGCCGCGGCCCCGTCCCCGACGTCCTCGAGCTCCCGGCGCAGGTGGTGGCCCTGGGCCAGCGCTTGGGCCGTGCCCGCGGCCACCGCGGCCACCTGCTCAGCCAGGAGCCGGCCAGCGGCCTCGGTGGCACGGGCCTGAGGGGACATTGGGGACATTGGGGACACGGGGGGACATTGGGGACATTGAGGGGGACATTGGGGACATTGGGGACATTGGGGACATTGAGAGGGACATTGGGGACATTGGGGACATTGATGGGGACATTGAGGGGGACATTGGGGACAAAGGACAAGGGACATGGGGATGTGGGGGCACAGGGAGGACACGTGGGGACACAGAGGCTGTAGGGTGACAGGGGGGTGACAGCGGGTGACAGCAGGTGACAGCAGGTGACAGCAGGTGACAACAAGTGACAGGAGATGACAGGAGGTGACAGCAGGTGGCAGCAGGTGGCAGCAGGTGACAAGAGGGTGACAGGAGGTGACAGTGGGTGACAGCAGGTGACAGGAGGTGACACAGGAGTTGACAGCAGAGTGACAGGAGGTGACATGAGGTGACATGAGGTGACAGGAGGTGACAGGAGGTGACAGGAGATGACAGGAGGTGACACAGCAGGTGACACAAAAGGTGACAGGAGGTAACAGTGGGTGACAGGAAGTGACAGGAGGTGACACGGCAGGTGACATAAGAGGTGACAGGAGGTGACAGGAGGTGACACACGAGGTGACAGCGGGTGACAGTGGATGACAGGAGGTGACACAGGAGGTGACAGGAGGTGACACACGAGGTGACAGCGGGTGACAGTGGATGACAGGAGGTGACACAGGAGGTGACAGGAGGTGACACACGAGGTGACAGCGGGTGACAGGGGCTCTGTCCCCACCTGCAGCCGGTAGCGCTCCCCCAGCAGCCGCTGCTCCTCCGCCTCGGCCACCAACAGCCGCAGGCGCCGGCCGGTGGCACGCGCAGCCCGGGACAGGGCCAGCCGCGCCCTGCGGTGGGGACAGCTCTGTCACCTCCTGCGTCACCTCCCGCGTCACCCTCCTGCGTCACCTTGTGTCACCTCCTGTCACCCACAGCCGGTGACACCCCCTGAGCCACTTTGGGGTCACCATGGGACACCTCAGGTCACCTTGGGCCACCCTGGGACCACCTTGGGCCACCCAGGGACTATCTGGGATGATCAGGGACCACCTTGGGCCACCCTGGGACCACCCAAAACCACTCTGGGTCACCTTGGGACCACCTTGGGCCACCCCGGGGCCACTCAGGGACCACCTTGGGCCACCCCGGGACAATCTGGGACCACCCAGGGCCCATCTTGGGCCACCAAGGGACCACCTTGGGCCACTCTGGGGCCACCCAAAACCACTCTGGGCCACCTTGGGCCACCCCAGGGCCATCTGAGGGCCATCTGGGGACCACCTTGGGCCACCCAGGGACTATCTGGGACCACCTGGGGCCCACCTTGGGCCACCCAGGGACTATCTGGGACCACCTGGGGCCCACCTTGGGCCACCCAGGGACTATCTGGGATGATCAGGGACCACCTTGGGCCACCCCAGGCCCACCCTGGCCCACCCCGGGCCCCCCGCGCCGCTGACCCCCCCTCTCGCCGCAGCAGCTCCTGCAGGTGGGCGCAGCGGGCGCGCAGGGCGGGCTCGGGGGTCCCGGGGGGGTCCCGGGGGTGCCGCAGCCGCTCCCGCAGCCGCCGCTGCTCCTGCGCCAGCCGGGCCAGCGCGGCCTGCGCGTCCTGAGCCCGCGAGCCCGCGGCCACCAGCGCCCGCCGCAGCTCCTCCACCTGCGGGAGCGACCGGCTGAGGG